TATGAGTGCTGAAACTTGAGCAACATTGGTGGGCGCTGCAGATGGGGTTGGCCACTCAGGGTATCATTTGGTGCCGTTTCGGGTATCGTTACAGCAGACAAACAGACAAGTGTACAGACAGACATATCAAAATTTTTGCGTCGAAGTACGCCAAGAAATACTATCGTCTTTAAAAAACTACCACTCTGCAGTAGAACAGCACTTATGGCTACGTGTGCTCAAGCTTCGGTGGCACTGAAGGCGCTGTTTTGAAATCTGTGGATCTGTGGGTGGTGAAGAATGAAACAATGTGCTTTGAGCATGTCCACTTCAGAAAAAAAAAGAAAGGCATTCTTGGCGTAAGCAGCCCGACAACACAGGGAGAGGGGTGAAGAACATCAGTTCTTGCCGGGAGCCAGTCAGGGTATTGTGCGGACTTTGCAAATAATCTGACGTTGACGACACTTGCTGGACCTCTTCAATGTCATGCTGTTTACGTGAAACCGCCGAAAATGTTGCTTGGACCTGAATACTCTGCTGAGCACTGTCCCTTACATTAAAAGGAAATTAAATAATAGGCAATGCTTCTCGCTACTAATCGGTCAGAAGTGCACCCGCATGCTGGATTTTCAAGTAACACAAGCATCTCGAGTTTTCAAATGTGGCATCAAGGGTTCTTTAATGATTCATGTTCCTGATTTATAGGTTTGATGTTGCTGTGTGCATGTAGAACATAGCAGCACAGCTGCGCAGCTATGTTTACTAGAAGATAGCTGTGCAGATATCTTTTACTGGAAGGGCAACTGGATTGAGCCCAATGCAAGAATGGATGGCCTTTATGCAGGGAATTTAGGTTTGTTTGTATGTCAGCTAAAGCAGACTTTATTTTGACGGAGCTGTGAGGCCCAGTTAATCTTGTGTGGAAAACTGAAGTTGAAAGTGTCAGACTCTCCATTCGGTCCCACTTAAAGGCCAACTGCAGCGACATTTGGCAATCCGCAAGAAGTTAATATATAGGTAGCGTAGCTAGAGGTAGTGCCGCCTGCCAAATGTCGCCATCAAAATACAAGCGCTTACCTTAGAAAAAAAGCCTGCAAACGATGGTGTTTTTGAGACCGAAACTAGAAAAAACGACGCCATTATGGCGGATTGGAAGTGACATGACTGACAGAAAAATCGTCTGCTCCACGCTCCTCGAGGACGTACATCGCGAACGTGCGTATGTGTGTTTTTTGTATGTTAACTTAGAAAAGCTGCGTGAACATGCCTCTTATCGAACGCTGGTCCGGGCTTCCCACTGGTGGGTTTGCATTGTCTAAACCCTGTATTCAGAAACGCTACTTTACTTGAACATGGCTTGCCATCGACTTCAATGCAGCACAAATGCATTTCGAACCCGCTGTCTTTAGGCGATGCCAAGGCATCACAAACACACACACGTTTCAAACGTGAAAGCGGTTTCAACGCAGGAAAAAGCGATTCAGTAGCTGGGAGGATCGCTCACAAAGAGCGACGTGGCGACATTCTGTAGTAATCGTCACATCCGGTTCTGTCTGATTTGCCTGGGCACACCGCTAGAGCTCCGTGTCGTCTGCTTGCTGGAAATTAGAGCACCAATTATAAATTAACTGTGCGACTGCAAGATTTCTCGCTGTCGTTATCGTAACTTGCCGCATATATACTACGTATTTATGGTCGTTTCCGCCCAAGTAAAGGTTCGTTGCAGTTGGTTGACATTAGTGTTCAGCTCGCAACGTCTGGCAAGGATGGTTAAAGGGACACTAAAGGCAACTATTAAGTCGATGTTGATTGTTGAAAGGCAGTCCATAAACCCCGTAGTGCTACACTTGTGCCAAGGAAGTGCCTATTTTGAAACAAATCACGTTTTACTGGTCCAAATCGGGTTAGCGCACTTCAAATCGCCCGCCCAAACGGAGTGTCTCTTGTCACTGTTGCCGTGCACTATGTTGCCCGACTTTACTGCGTGGCCGCTGACACTAGTAGCAGCAGAACGAAAGCAGTGCGAGCCACAGCAGCAACAACGGCAATTCAACAATTTCCTGCCATCTCCTCAGAGATGGCAGACATTGGTTCAACTAGACCTTGCCGGATGGCATGACCTGCCCAGTTTAATCATACAAAAATTTAACTTTTGACCACTTACGCTATTCCCCATAGTAACGTCTGGCAGTTCTTTTTTCCATAAGAAGCAGCGTTTTATTACATATCTTGATGCACGAAAGGTTCTTTCTTTATTTAGTGCAGATAGTTCGATTACTAGTGATTAATTGTCGGCAAGTTTGTCTGATATCATCGGGATCATTTAGAGAATGTCCAACTGTGGCGCATGCATTCTAGCGAATTTACCTTAATTTATCGGTAAATAGGGCACTGCTGTTCAAAATATTGTCGTTTTAGATGTTCTCATACATTGAGCTTTCACTCTGATGTAAACTGTTATTGGACTTAGTGTCCTTTTAAGTGGCACTGAAATGAGAAACATTGTCATTGAAATGACAATGTTTGAACCTTTAACAACTTCACACTGTTTCAAATCAGTGCATTATTTTTCTTCAAAGAGCACATATTTTTCAAAATGTGAATTGCAATTTGAGGTAAATCTGGTTTGTCTGTTATCTTGTAATTGGCTTTCTAGGATATCCTCTACTGTAACTTGCACCTCGTAAATCACAAACGCTACTGCAGATGACTTGTATACTTTTTTGTGATGTAATATACATAGTAATTACATAATAATAAATTACATAATATTCAGGGAAACTCAATGCAATAGAAAAGATACATTAGGCATGACGGTATTTAAAAGACCGCTCACTAGGTTTGGTCATTGCAAGCAGATTAGTCCGCATGTTGACAATTTTGTCTGTGGTGTATTGTGCACGAGCAAAAAGAACAAACAGCTGTATGATAGGTCCATGCATCTTTGTCAGAAAAGTCAGTTGTCTTTCTACTTACTAAATAGCCAGCAGAATAGAGAACTTTTTGTTGGCCAAGTTAGTGTACGTTCATACTTGATTTTTGAAGCCCGAAAAAACAAAACCTTAAGAGAAAACATAGGATTAGCCCCTTCTTATCTCTTAAGGTTGTGTTTTTTGATGGCTTAATAATCGGTTATGCCAGCAGAAAAGCTGACAACATGGCGAGTCCTGTGGAATGCCGAGAAGGTGAAACAGTTGTGGTAAATTTATCGAGCACCAAGAGGAGACGAAAGTTTCTCAGTGGGACTGCCAAGTACAGGGTGTTCCAAGACGTGTGTCCAATCTTATTAAAAACATCAGAAAAAGGCAGTATTTGCTCACTGTCTTCACATTTGCTTCTTTTATAGTGGCAGGCATCTTAAGAAGGTTGAAGATATTATTTGGAATGGTAATTAGAAAAGCTAAAATAATTAACTTTTTAAATAGTTGAGTGAGGCAGTTGAATGAAATAGGAGAATAGGAAGTCCTTTGCTTTGGGCGAAGAACCGATTGCCACCTTGAGATTTCGGAAAAGCGGCCTCCAGTAATAACTGCAAACTAATGAAATTCTCACAAGTCTGCAGCAAAACCGAAATTGAAAAGAGCACAACTGAAATGAGGGAGTGTTGTTACATTAACCATTAACTGACTTTGTCGTGTGGGTGTGTGGGCAGTGCTCGCAAATACAGCATGCGCGATGCACATCGTTGACGAACGGGGAAGAACTGCACCCCTGTAACCGCTTTTTTGAACAGTGACGTCATTGTACTAGTCTGGTTGTTGCGCCGTTCGGTCCATTGGTTTCGGTTTTGTTGCAGCCTTTAAGAGAATTTTATTAATTTGTAGTGATTGCTAGAGGCGTTTTTCTGAAATCGTAAAGCAGCAATCAGTTTTTTGCATGAAATACTTCAATTTTCCCATTTGACGTATTCTCCCATTTGACTAATTAAAAAGGTAAATAACTTAACTCTCCTAAAGACAGTTTCAAGTGATGTCTTCCACTTTCTTAAGATGCCTGCTGCTACAGAAAAAGCAACTGCGAAGACAGTGAGCAAGTAGCGTCTTTTGCTGGTTTTGAAACAATATTGGACACATCTCTTGAAACACCCTGTATATGCATAATGTTATATGACAATCAATGGAAAGTTTGCATTGTTGCTGTTCATTATAAAAAAAGGCATATGAAATTTCTGCTGCAAACAGAAGTCACGAAGTGACTAAAATTGAGGATATTGCCGGAAAAAAGCCTATGCTCTTTGAGGCGCTCTTATTTTATTTAGATCACTCGTAATTTGCACTTATGTCTTTTGATTGACACCCATGTCTCTTGATTCATTCTTGATTCACTTGAGCCGCTTTCATGTGCAACGGTTCACTCTTGATTCTTCTTAACACATGTAGATTCACGTCGAATTCTCTTCATACTCGTGTTGATTCGTACGCCCAATCATTTTTGTCTGTATTTGGTGTTAGGAGACTTTGGGTATTATTTGTGTTCACAACCCTGCCATACGTCGAATATTTTTGTTTCGGTGAGTATGACGCTGTGACGTCAATAATCACCATCTATTTCGTGCGACTTCCTTGCATTTTCACCACATGCCCGGTTCTTATCAGCCCCATATAGCATGTGGGCATGACATAGCACTCTCAATGGCTAGTAGAAGCACGCATGTAGTTTTCAACAAGGGAAACAAGTCAGATGACGATTATTACTGTGTGACATAGTCTCATTGCTCTCTAATGCATAGAATGTCCTGGTTTGGTTAAAAATGGTGCACGTAGCACGTCCCATAATGTTTATTGGGTTATGCACATTCCATACATAAATGGTCTTTTCTTTATGCATGTGCATGTGCAGACCATTGATTCTGTTAAGTTAAGTAGTCTCTCATACAGAGTTTTCACTTGCTGAAATTACATCGTAGTTGTGGTACTTTAATGCCAGAAGGAAAAAAAAAAAAAGCTGCGCCACCAAGAAAAAAAAAAGAAGCTTTTTGAGCATTTGTGCTTTGCTTGGACCTGTTGCACTCTTTCTCGCAGCCATAATGCATCTGCCGTACTGCGACTGGCTTCTCCTGGCTTCCAAGTCGTCTCCTAATAGTCTCACGTGCCAAGCCCTCTGAGGGCCTGCTGCCGCTTCGGTGGCTTGCTGCGAGAGCAGAAGAATCTAGGAAAAAGACAGAAATTGGATCTTAGCGTGTCTGCAGATCCTGATGTGTTTGGACACGTACAGCCTCCTCCTTCCACGATGCACCAGGCAAAGGCTGCTGTGCTCGGCAAAGGGACATGCAGGCAGCAAAACTTCGTGGTGTTTTCGTGCCTCTTGGGTCATGCAGTGTCGCGGCGAACACTCAGTCAAGTCTGAATGGTATGCGTTCAGTGTGTGCATACATCCCCCTCATGCAGTTTCGGGGCCCTGCCCGACTGATGTGTGCGGCAGCAGGTGCCAGGTTTTGGCATTGGCCATCCTGAAGAGTCCTTGAGAACTTTAAAATTATCGTGACTTGGTATGTGCTTTCTGTTCATTTCTGTTGTTGCCTATCTTTCTGTGAGCTTTATTTGTGTGTTTGTGCATATGTGTGTATGTGTGCGTGATACTGCACAACTTGTTTTTGTTTTGTGCATAGTAATTTGTAAATGTAACACTAAATAATAGAAAAGGCAATTACTCGCACATTCTTAATTGTTTGTATTACAGAACTAGACAATATCACTGTGCTTAGAGCTTTAAGTGATGTGCCTGCAGCAGCCGTTTTTTGTGTTGAAAATCTGCTGTGGCATAAGCCTTTGCAAATGGGAAACATAAGCTTGGCTTTTGTCCTGTCGTGGAGTTGTCATCGTCAGTTTCTTGACAGTGTAGCATTCAGCTGTGAACCGCCTTGTTGGCTGCACTGCAAACTTGTTCCACAGCATCGTTGAACAATGCGAGGTTCTCTCCACTAGTTGCCAGACAGGTGTGCGAGTTTGTACAGGTGCGTCAACACTGCTGCGTGTCACCTTCCGTCAGTGTAGTGTCTCCCTTTTCTCAGCCAAAACAGTGCTACAGCATTGTTCCAGACAAACAAACAAAACGTTGACCATGGTGCTCCCAAATGATGTCTCACAATTGTGCAGCTTATGAAACTTGCAGAAGAATCCTCGAGACATAAATGCTTGAGTTTTTATTTTTGTATGCGCTTTCTGCAATAAGAGATTTCAAAATCCTGAACCTCTTGCTTGCATGCTGATGGCATGAAAGATGCCTCTAGGGCTTTCCCTTTTTTTTTATGGCCATACGGTTGTTTGCCATCAGAGGTTCTATGTCTTCTTGAAAGTGGTGTTCTGTGGTCATTTGCATCTTCTCCAATATCTTTGATGGCAGCCAACGACAAACATAGCAGATGGCCACATGTATTGCGTATTGAGCTGAGAGCTATTACTCCAACAAGGCCAGTTTGTGTGCAGGCATCGACCTGAAACAAAAAGAAAGCAAATCTCATCATCAAATGAAGGTGCCTTATTGTAAACTGGCAGTCTTGCTTCAGTCTAAAACAGGCAGCCAAACGAGTGCAGCTCTGTTGCTGCTTATGCAGGCTAATAACAAAGCAGTCTTTGCTCGACTACAGACATGCATCATTTGTCTTTGTTTTGTTTTTTTACATTGTCTGGCGTAATACCTCCGTATGAGTAGCAGGCATGCGGATTCTATGTTCTTTAGCCTGGTTAATCACTCTCATAACTTCGAACCCTACTCTTGCCAGCTCTGTTCTCGGTGCCTAGCTTCCTGCCTCTTGTTTCTCGTTGATGTCTCGGCGCTTATGCGCATGTGTTCTCACTGCAGGAACATTTGTGCGGCAGCCGTGAAAGAAACTGTGATCGCTTGTCCTGTACGTGTTAGTCAAACGCCAACTCACCTTTTATATTATTTTGCTTCTTCTGGATGTTTGTAAGAAAGACGTCACAGCTGCAGAATTATGGCAGTTGTGCAGCCAGTTTTACTTACGCTTTGGCTGGCACACACTAATTGGTGTCTATTTTTCTGTGTTCTTAGTGCTCTCATCTAACAAGGCATATCCAATGAACGGTTTTAGATATGTTGTTTGCCTTAAAGCTTTTGAATGAAGACTGAAATTTTGTGTCACCTGCATAATTCTTTTTGTTTGCATGTTTCTGTTCTGATCGTGTTTACAAACACAGCAGTGTAACCGTGTGTCTGACTTGGCGTATTGCACTTGCAAAAAAAAAAAAGTGGGTGGCAACACACAGCATTCTTGACTGTTTGGAAAATGTGCACCAGACAGTGGTGCCAAATAGATGGTGTCGCGCCACAGTATTTGTACCCCGTGGCAGAGAAAAAACTTTTTTGTGATGGGTCAACTCTCTCGCCCATGAAGAACGTGTTAGTGCCTTATCTCGCTGTGTCTAGTGCATAATTCTCCGCCAAGAAATGGAAAAGGAATCGAGAATCAGTGCTCACTCTTCAAGGAGGAGTCTCTTTCAGCTGTATGTAATCTGACTGAAGGTGCTCTGCTTGGCATACATAATGTGTTGAAAGCTTCTCTTGTGGTGCTCCAAGGTTACTTGAAGGCATCGTGATGTTTACTTTGATCTAAAAAAAAAATCTTTAGTTCTTACTGAGCGACTTGGTGAGCAGCCCGTAATATCTGATGAGTATTGCAGCATCGTTCAATTCTCTGGTGGGGCGAGCTGATTCAAAGGCACAGTATTGGATCGTGTTGTTGAGTCATGAGAGTTGTGTTCTTCCTGGTTATGCAAGAATTTGGTTAGCTCTTACTATACTTTATTGAAAATCACTGCTTGAGTCAATAAGTTTTCATTGTGGCTCAAGGAAGTAACTGGTCTCCAGTAGTTACATCAGCAAAAGTCAGGACTGGATGTGTTGGAGAATGTTTAGTGCCGTGTCACTTTAGAGAAAAGCTGCCCAGAATCTAGCAGAGGGACCAGAGGATGTGTTTGTAGACTGTGGAACATGTCAGGGTCAAGCATTGCCTACTTTTTTTTTTGTTGTTGTGGAGAACAGGATCTAAGTCCAATCATTTTGACGGCAACAATGCCTGCATTGCTATCTCAAAAAAGGGCATTCGGATACAAAAGTGGCAGCCTAGAGCATTCCCGTAGCGATAACTCAAATCGCCCAAATATGTTCTCAGTGAGTCAAGCATTGTCACTGTTTGTGAAACTGTTTTGCAGAATTTTATGTTATTGAACATAAAAGAAAGATTCGCTAGTGGAGAGGTCCAGACTATATAAAATTATCTTGAATAAGTTATGCATCTTTTTTTCTTCTTTTTGTTCTTAAGTCATGTTGCTTCTTTACATTGTTAATGTATGTAATTTGTTGAAGAATTCTGGGCAACTGCCAACAAATCTGCACAGTGTTGAGAAGCAAGGCTGCCATCTAGTGCCAAGAAGAGACTCGCTGTTCCCGCAGTTTTACAATGAGTGTGTCTCGGTTGGTTGTTTGTGGCACACTGCTAGTCTTGGAAGAATCGTCAGAATCTCTCGCAGTCTTTAGTGGTACAAGAGAGAGAGTAGTTATGAATGTGTCGCAAGGAGTGCTTGGAGAGTGGCTTTGCAGTCTGTGCATCTGTGAAAAGACATTACTGCACTCCCATGTGGTAAGTTAGTTTTACCTGCCATGTGGTAAGTTACTGCCATGTGGTAAGTTAGTTAGTCCCTCTGCTGCAGATTTTCCAGGAAAGTGGCTACTTGACACCAGTCTAAGAAATTTCAGCAGGGCTGATTGGGGGAATATTGATGTGTGCATAATGGTATGAGTGTTGTTGGACTGGTGCGAGTTATTCAAAGAGGACAGGGTTGCTGAAGACTTGTACAGTGCAGTTGGTCACTGAAGACTTGTATAGCGCAGTCGCCATATCAATATTTCTTTTATCGCGTCTTGATTGATGTGCAAGTGTGTCATTGTTGTAGGTAGTGGATTCTCCTGGTTATGAAGGATCCTTCTTGAGAGGTGTTAGAGCAGAGCGTGTGTGCGGCATGAAAGAGTGACCATTTTAAGCTTTGTGATGTGTTGGGAGTACTTAGCTTTGCCTGCACTGGCTTCCGAAACAGCAGTGCTTTAATAACAGAAACTTCCCAGGAAAAAATTTCCATTCACAGGGGAACTATTGTATGCTTGCAGTATAAACACTTTGCTTGTGCTGCATTATTGGCAAAATTATTTCTACTAATAGCTGCCAACAGCTAATGTTTTCCAAATAGTACCATGTTTTACTGAATCGAAGGATCTTGTTGGGTCAGCGCTTTACCTGCAAAGCACATCCACTGCTGGACCAAAAAAATAAAAAGAAAAGGCCTGGTATGCCTTTTGTTCCTGTGAGTTTGTTGGTATGCCTTTTGTTCTCACCTGGCTTATCAGCTGTTGTCATCAACTGAAGCAGTTTTGACTCCACCAATAATCTCTAGAGTTGCATCTTGACAGGAAAGCATTAACTATTTAAAGTCACTAAAGAGAAAATTCAGTTGGATGTACAAGAAGGAAAGTCCATGTGTAGAAATTGCGCACAACTACGTGGCGGTGAGCATGTTTCCACATTGCTTTTAAGCCAAGGAGCCCGGGACATACAATAAAGCTCTGTTATGGTAGCGAAAACATTTCAGGCTGCCTCTTACTTGCTTGATCTAGATAGACATTGGTGGTTATCAGAAGAGAAATGTTATTGTTTTATTGCCAAGTTTGTTGTTTCAGCTGTCACATGCCATTGTGGAGTTCCCTCTGTGAGTTATTGACATGACAAATAGGGCAGAGTATTACAGTACAGCTATGCACTTGTCATTGCACATTCCAGCAGTGGAAGTGCTGTAATGATCCTGAGGCTGTCTGCACTCATTTTCTTTTTTCTAGGGTTGTGGAAGAGGGGTCTCCCTGTGCTCGGCATAGTTCTGTAGTCTATCAGACTTTTGCAGGAGACTATTGCAATAAGCTTTGCATGAAGTTGTGCACACACATGGCCAACTTTGCTAGTGTGGTAGAGAAAAGAGGGCTCGCTAGTTGGTTTGCCTTGGCAAGGCTTGGACTTGATTTGCCATTTGTGGTGGCCACAATTACTGCACAAATTTTGTGAACATAAAGCCTGACTTTTGGCCCTTGCTGCACAATGTTTTCCTTTTTTTTTATGCAAGAGCTGTGGATAGAAAGACAGCTTTGTATGATAAGAAATATGTACAGTGAGTACGCACATTTTTGCCCCAGTTTTTAATATATTTTGAGTGTAATTTGTTGTAGTTTAGGTATTACTGAATTCTTGTTTCCTTTTACATTTATATAAGCTTCCGAAGTGTTTCTATATACAATTGCTGTTTTGAAAATTTTCTCTGACTTGTTTTCACTTGTGTTCTGTATTTTTTTTTTCTTTTGTATTGTTACAGAAAGGCCAAGATGAGTGTTTAGGTTGCAATGTGTTATTGAAATAAAACGTCTATAATCTTAGACATGCAGTCTTGCGATTCCTATTTCACACTTGCCGCTGTAGTCTGCTACCAGTAACTAGCCCAGTTGCTGTGGCGTCTTGTTTTGAGTATGAAGTAACATTTTTTGCTGGAAGCCACATTTTGTCAAAAGGGGGCAACTGGAAAAGCCATATACAGTAGACTCTCAGTAAACGAATATTTGTTAAACGGAACTACTGCTTAAACTGAACTATTATTGCCTCTGAAATACTTGGTTTTGGGCTTGTATTCTGCACCCATGTTCACCTATCAGTAAACGGAACTTCTGTTAAATGAAACATATTTTCCCAATCTCTTCAGGTTCCGTTTACTGAGTCTCTACTGTACATACACTTGTTTTGCTCAGCTGCAAAAAAAAAAAAAGGACCGAAAAAAAGGAAAAAAAAGGACTAAAGGGACCGACTACTGGCTAGAACTTGTGATTAAATCCTGGTGGAAATAAAAACGTCGGTTACAGATTAAAGCACACTTTTCACGAAACTGCACATGTTCACCACGCTTGATCTTGTTTCGCTTCTATAGCGAGTGAAACCGTGGAATGTACAAAACACTCATTCCTATAAAATGAGCTTTATGACGTAGAATTAGTAGAAAGCTGTACATTTAAGGCAACACAAGCACAATATTGTCGCGGGTTATAAATGACAGGGGGTTTATTTAAAAACACGGACAGTGGGACTTGTAGAGACGCTCTCGGAGAAGGCCGCTAAGATTGTCGTCTTCTTCACTCTGCTGCGCTGCGCCTCTCGAGCAAATCCGTGTTCTTCGTTGTCGTCGCTATTTCGCCGCTAAATGCAGCTATGCACGCGGCATTACCCTCCCGCCAGAGTGAGCGTCGTCCCGACGCTCAACAGGTAGAGATGCGGCCATCGAGTGTTTACATCACTGAGAGTGGTAAAGTTTCATGCGAACCACGTGCAGTCTCAGGCAGATGCTGGCGACGTTTTGAACAGGAGGAGGCGTCGCGCACGACTTTGTACGTCACGTCGCTAAGACGACGCAGAACCTTGTAGGGTCCGAAGTATCGGCGTAGAAGTTTCTCTGAGAGGCCTCGTCGTCGTACAGGAGACCAAACCCAGACTCTATCTCCTGGATGATAAATGACAAATCGATGGCGAAGGTTGTACCGTTGGGCGTCAAGTTGCTGCTGGTTCATTATTCTGACGCGGGCAAGCTGCCTTGCTTCTTCGGCGCGCTCAGTGAAGTCTGCGGCGTCTGTCTCTGAATCATTGCAATCGTAAGGCAGCATGGCGTCAAGCATTGTCGTAACTTCTCTGCCATGAATCAGTGCGAACGGCGTCATTTTTGTTGTTTCCTGGCGCGCCGTATTATACGCGAATGTGATGTACGGCAATATTCGGTCCCAATTCTTGTGTTCTACGTCGACGTACATGCAAAGCATGTCAGCGATTGTCTTGTTAAGTCTTTCTGTAAGCCCATTAGTTTGTGGGTGGTAAGCTGTCGTCTTCCTATGCGCTGTGCCACTGAGCGTAAGCACATTGCGCAAAAGCTCAGCTGTAAACGCGGTACCTTTGTCTGTTATGACGACAGCTGGAGCACCATGTCTCAGAACATGTTCTCAATGAAGAACTGGGCCGCTTCAGCTGCAGTGGCCACTCGCGATTGCCTTGGTCTCCGCGTATCGGTGAGGTAGTCCGTCGCCACTATAACCCCATTTGTTGCCGCTGTCCGATGTTGGGAATGGGCCCAGCAGATCCATTCCGATTTGAGAAAACGGGGTTTCTGGCACGGGCACAGGATGTAATAGCCCAGCGGGTTTGACAGGTGGTACCTTGCGCCGCTGACAGTCAATGCATGTTCGGACGTAATGTTAACGTCTGCTGCGATTCTTGGCCAGTAATATTTTTCTTTGATGCGTTGTCAGTGTTCTTGTGAAACCGAGGTGGCCCGCAGTGGCTTCGTCATGGCAGGCTTGTAAAATTTCGCTGCGGAGAGCTCCAGAACTACCAGCAGATAGCTGCTACCTGTTGATGAAAAGTTCTTTTGTACAGAATTCCGTCCCGTAAACAGAATTGACGATAAGTTCTTCGAAAACACTCTTGGTGCATTGGCGGCTCGTCCGTTCAAGAATTCTATAAGCGAGTTGAGCTCCGATCATCTTGTTGTTGCCGAGAAATGATAGCTGCATCAACAACTCCTAAAAAACCTGGGAAATCATCATCCTCTATAGCCGGCGATTCAATCGGTGACCTTGACAAACAGTCCGGCGTCTAAGTGTTGCCTTCCGGACTTGTAAACTATGGCCATGTCGTACTCTTGGAGCCATAAGCTCCATCGTGCTAAACGTCCAGATGGGTCTTTCATGTTGGTCAACCAACAAAGAGAGTGATGGTCGCTTACGACTTGGAAAGCGCGGCCATATAAGTACGGGCGGAACTTCGCAACTGCCCAAACGACGACCAGACACTCCTTCTTCGTTGTTGAGTATTGGACTCGGTGCGTGTCAACGTTCCGCTAGCGTAGGCAACCACTCTCTCCACACCATCTTGGCATTGGACAAGAACAGCACCTAGGCCCACATTGCTGGCGTCTGTATGGATGGCTTGTGGTGCATTCTCGTCGAAGTGAGCGAGGGCAGGTGGAGTTTGTAGACGCTGTCGCAGCTCGTTGAATGAAGCTTCTTGCTCTTCACCCCATACAAATGCGATGTCTTCCCTTGTAAGGCGGGTGGGTGGAGAGGCGATGTGTGCAAAGCCTGCTATAATCGCCGGTAGTAGGCGCAGAGACCCAAAAAACGCCTGACCGCTTTCTTATCAACAGGCCTGCGAACTTTGCGACGGCTGCTGTTTTATCTGGGTCAGGCTTCACACCTTCGCGACTGATCACGTGTCCCAGGAACTGGAGTTCTTCGAAGCCGAAGTGACATTTTTCGGTTGAGTGTGAGTCCAGCGGACCGTATGGCTTGAAGGACTGACAGTAGCCGCTTTAGATGCTCTTCAACGTGGCCGAAAAAAAACGATCACGTCGTCGAGGTACACAAGGCATGTTTCCATTTCAGGCCGGTACAGAATGGTATCCATTAGTCTCTGAAACGTGGCTGGGGCTGAGCATAGACCGAAAGGGAGGACTTTGAATTCATAAAGCCCATCTGGCGTCACGAAGGCGGTCTTTTCTCGGTCGCGCTCATCTACTTCTAGTTGCCAGTATCCACTTTTAAGGTCCATTGACGAGAAGTAGCGCGCATGCCGTAGCCTGTCCAAAGAGTCATTGATCCGTGGTAATGGATAAACGTCTTTTTTGTAACATGGTTCAGCTTACGATAATCGATGCAGAAACGCAAGCTGCCGTCTTTCTTTTCACGAGTACCACTGGCGATGCCCAAGGACTTTTTGATGGTTGGATAACGTCATCCTCTAGCATCTTCTTGACTTGCTGCTGGATTACCTCACGTTCTTTCTGAGCGACGCGATATGGGTTCTGTCGGATCGGTCTTGCTGTGTCTTCCGTAATATACGATGCTTAGTCAGAGGCGTTCGACCCACTCGTGATGTCGATGAGAAGCAGTCCTTGAACTGGTCGAGCAGCTCCATAAGACGGCATCTTTCAGTCGGTGTTAGACTCAGACCGATATCAACTGGTGGTGTATGTGGAGGTGATTGAGCTGTCGGCGTGTCCCTTGCATTAGAAGACAGTCGTGAGAGTAGTCAAGCTCTTCGAGGTACGCCACAGCCGTGCCTTTACCGATGTGCCGGCGCTCATTCGTGAAGTTGGTCAGAAGCACGTCTACGCGCCCATTCGCTAAGCTGACGATACCGCGAGCGATGGCGATGCCTTGGTGAAAAAGAAGGTCAGTGATGCGTTCGACTATGGCGTCTTCATTACAGTGCACGGCGCAACACACGGAAACAAGACTACATGACAGTGGTGGCACGCAGACGGTCGTCGGTCGACCACACGTAACACTCTGGGTTCTTGGTCTGGATCAGTGGTCACAGACTTGTCAGCGGCGAATGTGATCACACCGTCGCGTATGTTGACCACAGCACCGTACTCTCTTAAGAGTCCATTCCCAGAATCATAGTTTGCAGCACTCCGGTAGGATCAGAAATGTGGCTACAAAAGCCACATTCTCAATAGTGAGTCTTGCTGTACATTTTCCGTGGGAGTCATTATCTGGCCTCCAGCACTTCGGATATAAGGGCCCGTCCATTCCATCCTAACTTTCTTGAGTTCGTCTGCCAATCGTTCACTCATTAGTAGAAGTCTGCACCCGTATCGACTAAAGCCGTCACTTTCAACGCCGTCATCGTCACAGCGAGGTCGGCAGTCACAGTTTTTTCGGCGAAGTCTTCATCGTCGTCTCTCACGTGTTTCGGCAGCAGTGGGGTTTTTCGGCAATTCGACGGCTTGCAACCTTCCCCCCAGAGGTCGCTGCTTTCAGTTTCCCGTAGCGAGTCCGGGGTAGCTCGTACAGGGGAAAACAACAGGGAGGACGCTTTGACAGGTAGAATTGCGAAAAACCAGAAAAAAGTAAAAGAAAAAGGAAAAAGGCGCGTGTTGCAATTAGTTACATAAACATGCAGGGTGGCAGAAAGAAGGCAAATGGTTAGAGATTGAGGAGCAGTTAAACAAAGAACAGATAGGCGTGTATGCGGTTACAGAAACACACCTTAGAGACTTGGAAGAGCCACCACATATTAAAATTATGTTTGGGAAGGGTGTAACAGGACCATATCGGAAAGGAAAGGTGGGGGTGTAGGAATGCTAATTCACCGCGGAGCCAAATGGGTTAGAGTGAAACAGACGTGTTCAGAGCACCTCTGGGTTCCGGGCACAGTAGGTGGAAAGGAAACGTGGCTAGGGGTAGCCTACTTGTGGACGGGGAATAACTGCAGAGAAAAGAATCAGGAGATAGTGGATTGCATGAGTGCGGATATTAAGGAATTGGTAATGGGGCCGAAATCATCCTTCTAGGGGACATGAATGCCCACATACATGACCTTGACGGATATTCAGACACC